TAATTTGTATATTAATATCAAGAAGTGAATTTTAGTTAGCGTTCTTACAGTTTAAGAAAAACGGACAGTCAAGTTCAAACTAGAAGAGCGCGATTTATACTTACGAAACTCTCATAAAGAATGACATGCAGATAATATTCCAAGAATCAAATATAAGTCACTGTCACTACTCACTTGCCAGCATTCCTCGATTGCTAAACATGAATATTTTACTCTCTTCTTTATTTTTTTGTTTCATTTCTCACATATATGTTCTATTTTTGCTTTCTACCTATCCAATTCGTATTAAATGTAACTTAAGAAATCATGTTTAAATATACGTTTTTTAATTAAACTTATAGAATCAAGTGGAAAAGCTGTTTACTGTTCGATACTCTTGCCGGTTAAGCTAATTTACACGTGTTAAGTTGTAAGATTGTTTATGATATACAATTACAGGAAATGAAAGAGTTGGCCTACTTTGTAGAGACGTTGAGTAGCAAGCGGAGTTTGAAAGGAATCCGTGAGGACAGTTGAATCGAACTTGATCCGACATTAAACGGAACCCTTGGTAGAAGTTGTCACATCGGATTAAGCTTTGGAATCATGCAGATATCGTCGACCGAAAGAGTATCAGCCTTAACAATGCGAACGTAATGACTTACAGGTAAGTACCATAACGCAGTTACGATATCTGCTCGTGAAAATCGTAGCCAGCATTGCAATTCTTGTGTAAACTGATCCACTGTACCTGTGACCACTGTCTGAGAGCCAGGTGTTTGTAAGTAATCCGTTCCCGAGCAAATTCAAATGCTAGTCGTCCGAAGATGAATCGCAATTTATCCATGGATGGACGCATAGGACATGCGTACATAATAATTATCGTAAATAGTGTTAATATTGTAAATTATCATATTGTGTATAAATGCCGATTACTGTCTTCGGTACAATCGTATTTTTCAATTTTATTTCTTCGCTATACTCGGCAGACGTTACACCATAGGCCCAAGTACAAATTGCGTTATCTGATAAGAATAATCCAGATATCACGTACAAACTAGATAAAAGCCTCCTCTACTTGGTGTATTGCGAATGAAAGCCGAAAACAATACTTTATTAAGAAGATCGTTAAATAATATTTGCAATACGCTGCTTAGGTACAATTATATTTACTGAAGTATAAATCGTCAAAATTTAACCAAATATAAGTTAATAAATAAGTTGTTCTTTATTGGGTTTCATTTAGGAGAAATGTTCAGATTTATTTTTCTTATTCTGTTCCAAACATGAATTCTTAATTACATCTTTAAAATGTAATACATATATAAGGAATGTGAACATCGGATCAAGTTTCATTGCACAATATAAATCCAATTTATACTTAAATATTAAAATAAAAATATAATATCATTTTATCGGTTACGGACATATACGATAATGTCTACGGGGCAGTAGCTTACAGCATTTAGAAGATACCTGCCTTTTCAACAATTCTCTCAGCAATAATGCGCAATCGATGTTTCAAAATTGCCCGGAATAAAAGTTTATGCCTTCGATTACTTTTATTAGTTTTAGGTTCACAATACAAACATAAAAATTACTTGTCATATGTTCATAATGATTAGTAACATGCATTATAACAGGAAGCGCTTCTAGTCAATTAAACACATTAATATTATAATTATCGCACGAATTATACATATTGTGAACATTGGTGCAAT